CAAGCTATTCCTCATCCGTTCTTTTTAAAGCCCTAATTTCTCTTTAATCTCAATTCACCAGATCGGTTTTGCTGCTTTCTCAGGTGTGCCTCCCAATTCTGTTCTTTCACGATTGTTTTAGTTTATGATTTTGTTTAATTTCAAAATTCATGTTCGACCAGATTCGCTTAGTTAAATTTCCAGTTCTGTTTATTTTTGGTTCTCTTTCGCATCAGATGCTATAAATCATATAGTAATTGTGTGTTTTTGTGTGTGGTTATTTTGGGATGACATACTAGGTTTTCAGTTCCTGGACTTTTTATGTTCCAAAGACAATTTTTTTCCCGCCATAATCTATCATGGGAATGCAAAACACCCTAAGATGGATGATTTATTAATCGATATCAAATCATAGTTCGTTATAAATATTAGTTGGGTTTGTTATGGCTAGAATTTGTTATTTTTATACTTTTTTTCTCTTATAATTGAACACTACTTGCCAGAGGGCCTATGATGAAAACTAATTCATAGCAACTTGTTTATAAAGTAAACAAAAATAATAATAATATAACATTAGCTACACATAAGAACTAAGAAAAAAAATGTAGGCAAGAACCACACAGCATGAAATACGACGAAACCTTCCGCCCTACAAAACGAAAAAAAGAGAATTAGTATACAAAAAACAGAACACGAATTCATAGCAACTTGTTTATAAGGTAAACAAAAATAATAATCATACAACATCCGCTACACATACGAACGAAGGAAAAAAAACGTAGGCAAGAACCACACAGAATGAAATACGATGAAAAAAAAGATAATTAGTATAAAAAAAAAATGAATCGTAAAGATTATTTACGTCTTGTTTATAAGAAGATAGCATTGCAAAGATCAACAAACACTTTCCTCAATCCTGGCACGTTTGCAGAAGAAGGATCTTCCATTAAAATATGAAACGAATCGGAGAAAGCCAAAGAAAACAAAAAATAATACCAACACAACAACCCCTACAAACAGAAATGAAGAAAGAAATCGTAGGCAAGCTAAAAAAAAAATAAGAAACACAACTTCTCTATTTATAAAAAATGAATGACACCCAAAACTCTCCAAATCTTTTCCCACCATCCATATTTTAAATTCAAAATTTGAAACCATTTCAAAATTCGAATTTTAGATCAAATGAACAATACCAATGTAAAAAGCAATTAAAACAGCTGAGTCATTCCATTTTAAAATTTGAAATTTTTAGATCAGATGAGCAATTAAAGCAGCTGAGTCATTCCATTTCAAATTTCGAATTTTAGATCAGATGAGTCATTCCAATTAAATGAGCAATCAAAATTCGAATTTCAAAATTCTAATGTAAAAAGCAATTAAATCAGCTGACCAATTCCAATGTGATGGGCAGTGGGACATTCAATGCCTTGTCTGCCACCACAAATGGTCATTTATTTTTCGATTAAAAAAAAAAATCGATTTTTAAAAGAAATTCTTTTTCCAATTTACCGAAGAAGGAAAGTTTTTATATGTCATGTAGTGTGAACACAATTTTCAGAATTAAGCAGGGAGTGACACATCAGCGAAGTTCCGAACATTGAACTCTCCTTTATATATATATCCTTTATATATATATATATATAGATTACTAAATCTGATTTCAATTTTTGTAAATACAAATTTGTGAAATTTCAAAGAATAACGACATTAATCTTTTTCAATTCTAGTTAATTCCTAAAATAACTTCCCCTTTCATTCCCTTTTCTAATCCAAAAGGAAAAACCTTATAAAAATCAAAAGAAAACATTATCCTCCAAATAATATCTTTTTCCATGGATAATTATATTATCAAATAAGAAATGGATTTTATCGCTCATGGATTATATTGTTTCTATATTTTAAAAAGATTATTAGTTTATTCTTCTTCTCACTCTTTTCAAATTATGTACCAAGTCCTATTAAATTATATATTAGTAGGGGATGGTTATACATATACTTACCACCAGATAAGTTTACCGCCCTTAGCACCAATCTCATCACCGTTAGATTAAAATTAAATCTAATGATCCATAATTATCCCTTATAATCCTAATTTTTCTCCCACGTTCCCTTTGCCTTTCTCTCTAGGTTTCCATACCCTCTCTCATCCTCTCTTCAAACTTGCATCTGTTCATGGGTAAGTTCGAGTTGAATTGGATGCTAATTCAGGTTGAGAAAAAAAAAGTTTTCGTTATGACTATTGATCTGGATTTATTTCTGTTAATTGGCCAAAAGTTCGAGTTGAATTGGATGCTAAACAATTGGCCAAAAGTTATTTCGTTCATTGCTCGTTCTTCATAATACTGGTGGGACTTGGGAGGGTCTTCTGAATTCTTTTTTTTTTTTTTGGTAATACGTGAATACATTTTTGATTATTATGAACTATTATTTGTTAATCTGATCATCTTCCCTTGAAAGCACACAACAATTGAAGAGAGACAGCGAGTTAAAATGTGTTGTCACAGAGAATCAATATCGAAAGCGCACAACAATTGAAGAGAGGATGAGAGAGGGTAAGAAAACCTAGAGAGAGAAAGACAAAGGGAATGTGAGAGAAAAAATAAGATTATAAGGAATAATTATGGACCGTTAGATTTAATTTTAATCTAACAATGATGAGATTGGTAGTATACCCTTATTTCATTCAAATTGACCATCATTTACTCCAATAAATGACTTAACAAGAACTAAAATCAGGTCACAGATAAACATGTTAATATAAAATTTGAGAAAAGGGCCAAAGTGATAATAATATAAACAAAATCGCCAATCAACCGATTTCTCTCATAGGATTCAAATATAAAGAGAAACCAAAGCAATCACATACATAATCGAAAATAGTAATAAAATATAAAGGATAGATATGTACGTGGGGCATTTTATCCAATTCTCCTCGATACAACGGGCTATATTGGGTAAGTTTGTTATTATATTTTTAGGAAGAATTGCCTTTTTCTTCTGTTGGGGGAGAATGCTATTCTCCTGTCCTAGACTCTTAAGACATATTTCAATAATTTTATTTTATTTTAATTAATAAATGGGCCCTATATTCAATTTGTGAGAGTAAAAGGAAAAATTGTCTCCTCCCGCAACAGGAGAAACTATTTTCCGATATTTTTATTACCGAACTCTTTTTACAAGTACTCAACTTTCTTTTTTGTTGGTTTACAAGTACTCAACTTTAATAAAACATAAATAGGTTTAGAAAATTTTTAAGTCACATTTATTTATAAGTCCGTATTTAAACTACTAAACAAAAAATAATTATAAAAACCAAAATAATGCAAGGCCTTTACAAAAATGGATGTCACCCCTTGCACCCAGACAGCGGCCCACGGAGCCCGTTAACTTTATCGGAACATGAATCATTGACTAAATACAAAATACGAACCATACGGTGCACCATCACTTCAAATAAACTTGATGTGTCATGTCTCATATTTTTTGACATTTTTTTGATATTCTGTCACTCTAACATATATTGCATAACTCAAAAAAAATAGTTCAAAAGTTACGTTGTTACATTTTTAGTTTCAATTATTTAAGTCGTTGCATTACGATTGTTATTTTATTGAGTTTAATATAAATATTTGGGATATTTTATATTTCTTTGCGAAATTGATGGGTATTTTAAATTTAACTTTATTTTTTTTTTAATTTATTGAATATTAAATATAATATGGGATTTATACTTCTTATGCAACATAAGAAGAGCCTTCTCAAGCTACACTCACACTATTTTGCGTGGCAATATTTTTAATTTTTTAATTTACTTTTTTCCAATGGGGCCCACCTGAGTATATGTGTGCTGCAAAAATTCTCATCTTATGTTACATAAGAAATATAAACCCCATATAATATATACTATATAAATTAAAAATATTATTTAATATCAAAACATGTCCTAATATATCAAAATCTAATATTTTTATAATTAACGTGTTGAAATGTTAGGTTTCGAGTCGGGGTCGGTATCGGAACAGTGATCAATGTGCCACGTTTTTGGCATTTATATACAAAATTGCCACACGAACAGTAAAATTTACCATACTGTCACACGTTGAAGTTTGCTACGGCTGATGGCGAACTTGGTAGCCAATAATGTTTTGAAACGTGACACACTTTTGGAGAAAAAACTGACTGCCACATGTCCAAGTTTGCTATGATTGGTAGCGAACTTGGTAGCCAATGATTTGGTGGCACGTGACATATTTTTGCAGAAAAAGTTGATTGGACGAAGTTCGCTACAAGGGATAGAGAATTTGGTGCGTTGCGTGACACAATCTCATTGTCCAATCAGAATTAATGTAACGATCACAATCAAAAAAAGAAAATGAAGAAAAAAGGCTATTTAATTAATATACTAATCACAATTAATGTATCAATAACCAATCACAATTAATGTACCGATCACAATTAATCTTGATTGGTACATTAATTGTGATTGGTTATTGATATATTAATTGTTTGTGATACCATTGTTATAAATTCGAACGATGTTTGTGAGAGATAAAATATGTCAAATGAGGTGTCATTGCGTAGATCTCAAAAAGTTACGTGAAATAAATAAACAAATTTGATTTGAATATTCGAATCAAAAGTTATGGCCCTTCGAAATGATCGGTGATTGGTATATTAATTGTGATTGCTACAATCAAAAGTTATACTTTACGCGGTGGATTAATGTAACGATCACAATCAAAAAAAGAAAATGAAGCAAAAAGGCTATTTAATTAATATACTAATCACAATTAATGTATCAAGAAAAAAGGCTATTTAATTAAAAAAATTGCCAAAAACATGGATTATACTTTACGCGGTGGAAGTGGGGGAGCGTCCTGATTACTCGCCACCCCTGCGCTATAATTTAGTTCAGAAGCGTTGACCATTCCTCAGAGTATTATAAATTAATTGCACAATCGAAGTGACCAACACTCAAACTCAAAAGTCTCAAAACTCTGTCCATGCAGTGTAGTGTAGAGATGGCGAGAACAAGAGGAGGGAAAGAAGCAAAATCCTACACGCTTCCACCATCACCATCTCATTCATCGTCATCATCTTCCTCCTCAGATTTCGAGTTCACCATCTCCATCTCACCCCGCAAATCATTCTCCCCCGCCGATGAACTCTTCTACAAGGGCCGACTCCTCCCTCTCCACCTCTCTCCCCGCATCTCCATGGTCCGCAATCTCCTCCTCTCCTCCTCCACCTCCACCTCCACCACCACCTCCTCCGCCGCTCGCGACTCCACCGATTCACAATCTTCCTTCACCAGCGACCTCGCTCTATTCCCTGACTGCGATGACTCCTTTCGTCCCAGCTCCGTAACAGTAACAGAGGATGACGACTTCAAGCGCCTTCACAACAAGAAGACCACCACCAACCACTTCTCCTTCTCAAGATTCTCCTCTGTTTTCCGCAAACATAACCCCAAGACCCCCCACCCAGAAAGCGTTTCTGGGTCCTCGGTGAAGCGCATGAGCAACACTGTCAAAGAGGTTATCAGGAAGTATACGAAGAAGGTGAAGCCATTGTACGAGAAGCTGTCACTCAAACAGAAGCAACAAGAACAACAGAGAACAGTGCCGTCTCTGTTCACCAAAACAGAGATATCCACGAAGGAAATTAATGAGAGGAAAGAAACAAAGAGTGTGATTTCTCATTCTTTCTCGGGAAACTTGAGATACCCTCTCCGTAGGAAAAGCGTCGTTTCTAGCCGTCCTTCATCGACGAGATCATCGCCGAGCCACTCCGGTATGCTTTCCGGTAGGATATTATCCGGTGACACTCCGACGGTGGAAGAGATGAATAATGCAATACAAGGAGCAATCACACATTGCAAGAACTCTTTCATTCAAAAACAAAAATACGATGATTGACTAATCTATGTGCCAAAAAAAGAAGACGGTTTTTGGTTTTTTAATACGAAGATGCCAGAATGATATTCGGGTAATTTTTTTTTATTGGTTGGGGCTTTGTTTCTGTCTCTTTGTCTTAGAATCTGACGTGAAAGTGATGTAGAAAAGCTGCATACTATGATAACATGGAAAATTAAAACATTTATGACACATCAGCGAAGTTTTGACATTGAACTCTCCTTTTTATATATATATATATATATATATATATATATATATATATATATATATATATATACGCTATATTGAAGTATTGAACTTCCGTTCGTTAACATCTATTCTTGTATTCATGTTCCCAAATGTAAAGCCTTGAAGCAAGATAAATCATTTGTCACTTGTTGAAAGACCAAAGTTCAAGTTATTCGCATACAAAAATACTATATATAATATGGGCTTGCAACTTCTCGAAATAGTCGGAGATGAGAGAAAAAGAGGTGGGAATGGGATTCACCTTGAAAAAAAAAATGGCTTGCTCCGGAAGATGGGTTAAAACACCATTTTAAAGTTTTTGGACAAAAGAATTGCCCGGTTAAAGCTGATTGCATAAGTTTTTCCAAAGTAATGCAGTCAAACATGTCACCTATGCTGACGGGACTAGTCCCGTCACTGATACTGACGGGACTCGTGCCACGTCAGCGCCACGTAAGTAGTCCAATTACCGTAAATTTTCGGAAGACCATAACTTGTGATTCGGGTATCCAAATCAGATGATTTTTTTTTTTATTTCACATAACTTTTCAAGATCTACACAATGACACCTCATTTGACATATTTTATCTCCCATAAACATAGTCTTATGGATAAACACTCTTGTGATTGTGATACAATTGTTACAAATTCAAACTATGTTTGTGGGAGATAAAATATGTCAAACGAGATATCATTGCGTAGATCTCGAAAAATTATGTGAAATCAAAAAAAAAATCATCTGATTTGAGTACCCGAGTCACAAGTTATGGTCTTCCGAAGATTTACGGTAACTGGATTGCCTACGTGGCGCTGACGTGGCACGAGTCCCGTCAGTATCAGTGACGGGACTAGTCCCGTCAGCATAGGTGACATGTTTGACTGCATTACTTTGGAAAAACTTATCCAATCAGCTTTAACCGGACAATTCTTTTATCCAAAAACTTCAAAATGGTGCTTTCCCCCCCGGAAGATGAGACTTCTTCTATTAAAGGAGAAGTCTTTTTTTCAAACACACACAAATATATATATATATATATATATATATATATATATATATATATATACTACAAGAAAAGCGGGATGCAGTGGCGGTTTCTCTCGGGCGATTCATATAATTGACTCTGAACACAAAGCGCAACTTGTATCTCATTTAATTTAGTTTTGTAGAGCTTCCAAATTTTATTCCTCTTTATTTTTCCTTTACCTTCCCAAGTTTTCTTTCCTAATTTCTCTTTTCCATGCACGATAACTCAATACACACACTTTAGTCTCTAACACAGAACTAGATAAAACTTCTTTCATTCTTTTGCATGCGCTAGAGTTTTCTTCAATTGTAGCTCTATTTCTCAGCATCAATACGAAACCTTCTACGATTCTTCATGGAGGTAGCACACATCATATGACTGCGATTTCCTTGATTCTTTGCATGTTTAGTTCATTGAATCTTGTGTTAGTAGTATCGAATTATTATTGTATTATTAGTAGTAGTTCATTGAAAAAAATTCTTCTTTTTTTAGGCTTTCTCATTTTCAACATCCCGAACGGTTTGATTGATATATTTGATGTTGCAGATTCTATGTATGTAGCTTGAATATTACATGTTTGATGGAATGTCAATGTCAATTCTTATGAATTGCTGATTGGGTTTTAAGTGAGTGTGATGGTCAATTTCATGCTCTCCTTGGTTTTATTAGTCGCCAATGGCCATGTCCTATGAGCCTAAATATAGAACTAGGAGAATGATAGTTGGAAAATTAGTTGCATGTGTCTCTCTAATAGATTATGCTTATGACACCTCTGTCACAGTTCAGAAACTTGAACTTCCCACACTAGCAATCACTGGTTGGGGGATAGCTGGATTTCTGGTAATTCGTTAAAAACACCAACTACTTTATCAGGTTGGAGGTTGTAAAAATGGTATTATTAAACAAGAGTACACATATTTTTTGGCAGATGGGCATGCTAGAAAATCACTGAGTTGGACCCAACGCATAGGAGCTGTAATTGAAATAGCAAAGGGAATTCAATTTTTGCATACAAGGATTCTCCCTGATATACCTTTTGTTTCCATGGAAAATCTGGGATGTAATTTATCTCATTCTGAACTTTCAGATGCAAAAGTTGATTCTCAGGAAGATGAAGATATTTCAGTGCCAAAAGGTGAAGGTAATAATGAGGAAAGTAAATCAGAGGAAGAGGAAGATAAAAGGAAAACTAACAAATCTACTTCAAAACAAAATGTGATGGAGATTCAAACGGCACCTGTGAAGAAGACCACTGGTGTACAAGTCATCAGACATAGTAGATATTTAGGTTTAAATATTCGTAATTTTATTGATACTCTGATTTTATTTATGTTTAATTTGTAAAAAAACATATTTACTTTTTTTTAATCATATATTGGATTCTATTAATTTTTAATGAAAGACATTTTGAATTTAATATTATTATTATTTTGTGTGTTTATTTTAGGATTATATTTAATTTAATATAAATTTGATGATATTATATTGATAGGCCTGAATACTATAAATTAATAATGTGTTTCAAATAATAATATTACTGAATATAATATAAAACAGAGGCGGCTGAATCTTCAACTTTCACGAGGTTTAAAAATAGCCGCTTTAAATTTATATAGTCACCTTACTCCACGACGGTTAATAGAATACAACGACCGTTTGTTACTCAATGGCGGTTATTCTGTCTGTTATTTAAAACCGACGTGGAAATATTTGACGACCCCAAATTCAGAGTCGGTTTCGAAAAGGCCAGAGAAATTTTCTCCGGCGATTTAAATGGCCGCTAAGCACAAATATCACCGACGCTGAATGCCGTGTTTGCAGAAATTATTAAAACACCATTAATTAATTTCTTAAAAAGACGTAATTTTAAAATTGCAGAAGATAATTTTGTCTCATGTGATAGTAAAAGTATTTCTCTCTCTATATATATCAATTTGGACTTTATTTAATATTTCTATAATTTATAGTATTTAATTATAATTAATTTAATATTATTTTTTATATAATACTTATCCACGTTCTGATTTTATCGCATCGATAATTTCACACAAACTCGAATACACATCTAAATATGTAATTATACGAGGTAAATAACGTAAGTGATATATACGGGCTTCTTTTTTTAATCATAGTTATGCTTGCCATCGATTGCATGTACAGTTGCATTTCTCTCGCTTGAGAAATTGGACCCATCTTTTACCCAAGGCTTTGGATTTCATGTAGACAATGAACGTTAAATCAACTTATTGATAAGCTGAAAAACAAATGTAGCTGTGAAGGTATAAAACTACACAAGCTGCAAAGCATTTGGTTTAGCAGCAAAAGTATTTTATTTACCATTTTTTTAATACATATAAAAAGAACCGCTTCGACCCAAAATTTTAAAATGTTAAGTGATAACTTTTTTTAATGATTTATATTATTTTCTAACACACTCTTTCATGCAAGAGCCATTTGGATTTGAAGCATATATATATATTGAATATGCCTAATTTTATTTTTATTTTACCTTGTACTTACGGTCACTAAAGCTCTGATATCATGTAAAGAACTGCTTTAACCCAAAACCTTAAGGCTTTGTTTGGGAGTTAGTTTTAGGAGGGAAATGAAAGGAATGCGAGGATTTTAATAATCTTTTCCTTTGTTTGTGAGTTTAAAAAAGTGAGAGGAAGGAATTGAGGATTTTCACAAAATAATCCAAAACCCTTATTTTTTCTTAAAATTAAAGTTCTCCTAATTTAAGGGATTTGAGGGGGAAATATATGAAATTACTTATTTATCCTTAGCATTAAAATGTGAAAACTACATAAGTGTGTATTATTTTTTAAATGTGACACTATTAGAAACATTTCAAATACCAACAGAATTTATCTACAGAGAGTATTCTGTCGAAAATAGTGATGGAATTTTCGACAAAAATCATATTTCGTGAAAAATAGAGACAATTTTTTTTTATCGAAACTAAAGACGAAATTAGAGACATAACAAGTTTTGGTCACAATAATTTTTTACGGATATAAATTCCGTCAAAACTATTGACATAATTTAAATTCCGTCGAAACTTTTTCGTAAAATTTTTGATGAAAAATATTTCCATCAAAATTTTCAACGGAACACATTTTCAACGAAAAATTTCGACCAAAAAAATTCCTTCAAAATTCTTGACGGAATCTAAATTTCGTCCATAGTTTGGAAGAAAATATTTCAGTCATATTTTTTGACAAATTTTTTTTTTCGATGGAACACATTTCCATCAATTGTTTTTGACGGAAAGCATTTTCGTAAAATTTTTTGACGGAAAACATTTATGTCAAAAATTTTGACGGAGTTCTTTTTTTCGTCCAAACTTTCGATGGAATTTTTTTCTATTGAAAAAATTTAAGAAATCATTTTCTTCAAAACTTTGGACGGAAACTAAATTCCGTCAAAAATTTCGAAGGGATTATGTTCTGTTGAAAATTTTGATGCAAATTTATTTCAGTCAAATTTTCGAAGGATAAAAAACTTTGTTGCCTTTTGATGAAAAAAAATTTGTCGAAATGTATTTTTCGTCATTTGAAACATAGAAATTTTATCAAAAATATGATCTATTTTAGTAGTGGGAAAAACATATAAATAATATTTTTTAAATTTAAATTTAATTTTATTTGTAAAATATAATAATTATATTAATTTTTTAAAAAAGATAAAATGGTAAAAATATCTCACTAACATTCTATTTTTCTCCCTTACCATTTTTTTAACTCTCAAACAAGGAAAATGAATACCCTTCATTTCTTTTTCCTTCCTTTCCCTTGGATTCCTTTCTTTTCCCTCCCTTCCAAACTCCCAAACAAAAGTCAAGTGTTAGGTGATAAGTTTTTTAATGATTTATATTAGGAAAAAGTTCAGCAATGCCTCTGTGGTTTACTCCAAAATCACTTATTCCCCTGTGATTTTTTTTATCACATAAGTCCTTGTGATTTGCAAATAAGTATGTTTTTTATCACATATGCCCCTGTGATTTTTTATTTTTTACAAAGCACACGGACATATGTGTTAAAAAAAAAATCACAGGATATAGATGATTCTGAAACAAATAACATGAGCATTGATGAACTTTTCCCTTTATATTATTCTCACTGCACTCATTCCTATTGGTTAATAGACATTCCGAAAACTATAGTACATTGGCAAATGGCAACCAATGTGTTTTTGGATAATAATTTTTCTGTAAATAGAGTTGCACATGATTGCTTATAGAGCTCACAACTGCATATCGGATCATTCATTATTTTAGTAACTTTTTATATCCAATCTTCCTGTTATACAATTTTAATTCTATTTTGTCTTTTAAAATCTTCATTTTTTTGCCATCTTAAGGCACACCCACTAGTTCATTCTGTTGGAAATAATCAAGTATGAGTTGTAAAGAAGTACCACATAGACTAGACATAGACCAAGTGATGACCATATAAGTGTGAAAGACCCATAAACCTACAGCCTTAAGGTTTTGGGTTGAGATGTGGTGTCGGTCCACTTATTATGGTTTGTCATTTGGCCCTTTAGTGGATGTACCCTTTGCAAAGGATTTTGGGCTCCCTCGTTCCATTCCCAACAGTGGTATCAGAGCCGGATTGGGCTCGAGCTAGCCTAGTGATTGGCTAGGAGGCGGGTCGAGTACTTTATGCTTCGGGTACTCGGTTGAGGGAGAGCATACCAATGGTGGGTTTCACACTTGAGGGGGAGATTGTTGAGATATTCAAGTGTGATGAGTCCCACATTGGTTGGTAATGAGCTAAGTGAAGAGTATATAAGTGAAAGGACCCATGAACCCAATGCCTTAAGGTTTTGGGTTGAGACATGGTGTCAGATCCACTTGCTACGGTTGGTGTAGCCTTAGCTCATTGGTGGTGGTTCCCCGCCACGGGCTTCCCCGCCACGGGCTTCCCCTGGACCTGCTTGACATTGGAGTTTGAGGGAACGAATTTCCCAACACATTCAAATTTCAATTTGAAAATAATAATGTTTATTTAAAAAGAAGGACCTTCCTTTGGAAGTTTGCAGTTGTCATCTTACATTTTCCAAAACACGGATTATGAAAATCATAAGCATATAGCCATAAACATGGGATCACGGAATCATAGTACGACTAAGATTCTAAAATAGTGTTTTGACAATTCCAAAAGACGCAACATCAGAAATTGATCCCATGAACTAATTTGGCTCCAATTAATATTATAGAGCCAAACCAGATTTCGAGATACGGAATAGTACCAAAAAATTGTAAATAATGTAGTAGCGTCTTTGTTGTTAGAGTTGGAAGAATATATGCAATTAGCATGTAAATATATTCTGTTTCCTTGTAATCCTAGTAGTTTCCTATTTGATAGCTTGTTAGCATAGTTGTTGATATTGTTAGCATGCTCTTAGCCTATTTTCACGTACAACTTTAGGCGATTAGTTAGTTAGTTTCTTTTCAAGTTTTGCTAATTACTTGTATTTATTCTAAGCCTATTTAAAGGCAACTAATTAATGAAGCAAACCAATCATTTGGTACCATATTCTATCTTGGTATAAGAGCGATCCTACGAAATACTTCCGCAAACACAAGTGCGTGAGAAATGGCAGGAGAAAACAGCAGCGCACTGAAGCCTTCGGATCCTGACTCTCCTTTTTATCTAGGAGGATCGGATAATCCAGGTGTGATTCTAACCATCGTGCAGCTGTGTGGAGAGGCCAATTATGATAATTGGGCCAAGTTAATGAAAAATGCACTCAGTGCAAAGAACAAGCTAGATTTCATCACTGGTGATGTGAAGAAACCAGAAAAGGATAACGCCGCGGAATGGCGTGCATGGGTTCGGTGCAACTCGATGATAAATGGGTGGATTCACAACACAATCGACCCTCAGTTGCAACCACTGATCAAATATTTTGATGACGTCAAAGACTTGTGGGACGACTTAAAGGAAAGGTATGATGTTCAGAATTTTCCTAAACAGTATCAACTCCGAGCTTCTCTCACACACACACGGCAGCAGGGAAGCACCGTTGGTGAATATTACACCAAACTCCGCGCGATCTGGGATGAGCTCGAAGGCAGCAAGATTTCCAAATCATGCGCGTGTGGAGATAATTGTGCATTGGCAAAAGAAATCGAAGAAGTTAGAGAACATGAACGAGTGTACCAGTTTCTCATGGGATTGGATGAAGCGTCATTTGGGAACTTACGTTCTCAAATTCTTAATGCTTCTCCTCTTCCAAATTTGAATAAGGTTTATGCAACTGTTACACAGGAGGAAACACACTGCGCCATTGCATGCGGCCATGATGATCGAGGTGCTGTCGTTGGTTACGCAACGCGTATGGAAACTGACGGAGGAAAAGCGGTTGTTGCGTCGCGCATGATTGCTGATCCCTCGGTTGCTCGCACACCGTGTCCACACTGTGGGAAGACTAATCATGATCCCTCCCGTTGCTGGAAAATTATTGGCTTTCCCTTTACCCGTGGTGCACCTCGCGGCCGTGGAAGGGGACGATCAGATGGACGTGGGATGCATGAGCAAGCCTTCGCGGTGCAATCTTCGGATGTTTTTCAACCAGGAAATACGTCGCAACCTTCAGCTCCTTATTCAACAGCAAATGCAGCGGCTTATTCAGTCCTCACTCCAGAAGTAGTGCATAAACTCATGACACTGGTGGATCACTCTCATCAGGCTACTGACAAATTATCTGGTAAGGCTATTCAGACACAATGGCTTATTGATAGTGGTGCCTCGCAGCACATGACAGGTTCTTTGGAATTACTGACTAATGTTACAAAAATCAAACCCCTAGTAGTGAGGTTACCTAATGGTGTACTTACTCATGCCGAACAACAAGGGACAATGGTGTTTAATGATGAGTTCACATTGTCTAACATTTTATTTGTTCCTCATTTGCGGTGCAATTTGATTTCAGTTTCTCAGTTATTGCAGCAGAGTGATAATAAACTAATATTTACTAATGGACAATGTATTTTACAAGACCAAGCATTGATGAGGCAGACTGGATTGGGTGATGTTCATGCAGGAGTTTATGTGTTTCAACCAAAGCATGCTTCAGTTTCTACTGTGAGAATTCAGGAGTCTGCAGAGTTGTGGCACAAGCGGTTGGGTCATCCATCCTATGAAGTTGTGTCTTTGCTTCCGTTGTTTTCCCATATGTCAGCTAAAATTGCAGCAACTAAAACGACATGTACCATTTGTTGCCGTGCCAAGCACACTAGGACTATGTTTCATTCAAGTAATAATCGCAGTAAAGAATATTTTGATTTAATTCATTGTGATACATGGGGGCCCTATCGCTCTTCTTCTTCTTCAGGTGCACATTATTTTTTAACGATTGTTGATGATTTCAGTCGATTTGTTTGGGTATATATGTTAGCTGAAAAGAAGGAAACATGCGATCGTATTCAAATTTTTTTTGCTATGATCAGAACTCAATTTGGAAAAAGGATAAAAATATTGTGTTCTGATAACGGGTCCGAATTTAAATCAAATAAATTGCTGCAGTTATATCATGATAATGGGACAATTCATCAAACATCGTGTGTTTATACACCAGAACAAAATGGACGAGTAGAGCGAAAGCATAGACATATTTTAAATGTATCTCGGGCATTATTATTTCAAGCTTGTTTACCCGTCGATTTTTGGGAAGAAAGTGTGCTTGCAGGAGTCCATTTAATTAATAGAACACCATCCAAAATTTTATCTGGTAGTACACCTCACGAAGTTTTATATGGGGAGGCTCCAAATTATGAACACTTGAAGATTTTTGGATGTTTGTGTTATGCTAATGTTAGACCAAAACCTACGGATAAATTTGCTTCTCGCTCTCGCAAGTGCATGTTTATAGGATATCCGGTTACTCAAAAGGGGTGGAAATTATATGATCTGGAAAATAAAGAATTTTTTGTATGCAGGGATGTGAAATTTTATGAAGAAATTTTTCCTTTGGCTTCCTTATCATCGCATCAACCTGAGTTTTCATCTGCAATCCCTCCTTCCAATGAGACAAAACATGCTGGTTAATTATCAGGCAGACGACGCTGATCACAATGGTATACTTCGGACACATGCAGACGCCGATAATACTGGTGCACTTCAGGCACATACAAATGACACTGGACATGCCGTACTTCCAAACCATAACGTTGGTCAAACTGGTGCAATTCGCGAGCAGGCAGGCGACACTGATTGTCTAGCAACTTCTGAATCCGATACAGTTGACAGGGGGAGCAACGATCAGGTGCTTTTATTGCCACCAACAGTAGCAGAACCGCAACCAGTAGCAAGCCGAAACCAGCGATCAAGGAAAACTCCGGCATATCTTCAAGATTATGAATGCAATGCTATCGAAACACATAAATCTCTTCCTGCTACCCAAATCAGTCACTCTTCAAATGCAAGGTCAGGTATTAAATATCCATTATGTAATTTTCTTAGTTTATCTAAATTTTCTCCATCCCATCGTGCATTTGTAGCAGCTCTTGATGCAGGATGTGAGCCTCATCATTTTAAAGAAGCCATGCAAAATCCACAATGGGTAGAAGCTATGAGAAAAGAAATTAATGCACTAGAAGATAATGGAACATGGGCAGTCACGGTTTTGCCTTCTAATCGACGAGCATTACCTAGCAAATGGGTTTTCAAAATAAAATATCATTATGACGGAACCGTGGAAAGATATAAGGCACAGTTAGTTATTGCAGGTAACCATCAGATAGAAGGCGAAGACTTTGGTGAGACATATGCGCCCGTTGCAAAAATGACTAGTGTTAGGACTCTTTTGGCTATTGCAGCAGCCAAGCAGTGGGAATTGCATCAACTGGATGTGCATAATGCGTTCCTAAATGGAGAGCTTAATGAAGAGGTGTATATGAAGTTCCCTCCAGGATTTAGCAATGGAACAAAAGATCAAGTCTTTCGTTTGAAAAAATCTCTCTACGGATTGAGACAATCTCCAAGAAACTGGTTTAGCAAATTGAGCTCATCACTTATAAAATACGGGTTTCAACAATCTCATGCAGACTATACCTTGTTCACATTCCAAAGAGGTGATATTTTTCTTGCTCTTCTGGTTTATGTTGATGATATAGTGTTGGCAGGAAATAATACTCAAGCATGTAATCAAGTCAAGGAATATTTAAACAAGTGTTTTAAAATCAAGGACTTAGGCAAGCTAAAATATTTTCTTGGAATTGAGATAGCCCGTAACAAAGAAGGGATATTTTTGTGTCAACGGAAATATGCTCTTGATATTTTACATGAAGCAGGTCTTAGTGGAAGCAAACCAGCTGTATCTCCTATTGAACAAAATCATAGACTTGGTCTTGCTGATGGCCCAGATATCGAAAATCCTGAGAGATATAGGAGACTGATTGGAAAATTGATTTATTTAAATATTACAAGTCCATATTTGAGTTATGCTATACATGTCCTTTCTCAATTTATGCAGCATCCAAAACAAGGTCACTACGATGCGGTCCTACGAGTGTTAAGGTATGTGAAACAAAATCCTAGTCAAGGACTTCTATTAAAAAGCGCATGTGATCTCCGCATTCATGCCTATTGTGATTCCGATTGGGCCTCTTGTCCTCTTACAAGACGATCTGTTACTGGTTATTTTGTTATGTTTGGGCACATCACCTATTTCATGGAGAACAAAGAAACAGGTCACAGTTGCACGTTCTTCTGCTGAAGCTGAGTATAGAGCTATGGCAGCTGCTACAGCAGAGTTAATTTGGTT